AATTTAATTATGAATTTTATTATTATTATTGCAAAATGGTTATTGCAACAGATAGTTAAATCTTTGTTAAATGCCAAGTGCTAACACACTTTGCCTGTAAGCAAGCAGAACATTACTTTGTTACCTTCTTTGTTACTTATTGCAGAATAACAAGACTTAACTATCACAGATATTCAGTGACAGGCTGGTAAAATTTAACAGTCAGCTTTTGGTGGGGGGAGGGCGTGGGGATTGGAGAGAGGAAATGCTTTATAGCTTAACATACTCCCACCATGGCTGTTTTCAGTCAATATAACGTCACTGCATGTGGAGTTGGGAAGAAGTGATTAGTAGTGCACCATTATTTTTTCTGTTGTTACCAGTGCCTTTGGTGTCATATCCAAGAAAACATTGCCAAATCCAATGTCATGAAATGACATTGACATTGACATATGACTTTTTTTTTTTTTTTTGCGGTATGCGGGCCTCTCACTCTTGTGGCCTCTCCCACTGCGGAGCACAGGCTCCAGATGCACAGGCTCAGCGGCCATGGCTCATGGGCCCAGCCGCTCCACGGCATGTGGGATCTTCCCAGACCGGGGCACGAACCCGTGTCCCCTGCATTGGCAGGAGGACTCTCAACCACTGCGCCACCAGGGAAGCCCGACATATGACATTTTTTGTCCTATGTTTTCTTCTGGGAGTTTTATCGTTTTAGGTCTTAGGGTCCTTGATACATTTTGAGTTAATTATTGCATGTGGTGTTAGATAAGGGTCCAACTTCATTCTTTTGCCTGTGCACATCCAGTTTCCCAGTACCATTTGTTGAAAAGACTTGCCTTTCTTCCACTGAATGGTCTTGGCACTGTTGTCAAATATGTTGAGGTAGTTTCCTTCTAGTTCTTGTTTGTTAGGTATTTTTATCATGAAAAGATGTTGAATTTTGTTAAATGCTTTTTCTGCATCAATTGAGATGATCATGTGGATTTTTTTCCATTTATTCTGTTCAAGTAGGATATTACATTGATCACTTTTCATGTGTTTAACCATCCTTGCATTTATTTGTTGAGGATTTTTTGCATCAGTATTCATAAAGGATATCGATACATAGTTTTCTTGTAATGTCTTTGGCTTTGGTATTAGCACAATGCTGTCGTCATAGAATGAGTTAGGAAGTGTTTACTCCTTCAGTCTTTTGGGAAAGTTTGAAGTATTGGTATTAGTTCTTTAAATGTTTGATATAATTCACCAGTGAAGCCATCAGGTCCAGGGTTTTTCTTTATTGAGAGACATTTAATTACTGATCCAATCTACTTACTAGCTATATATCTATTCAAATTTTCTATTTATTTCTGATTTAGTCTTGGTCTGTTTTATGTTTCTGGTAATTTGTCTGTTAAATCTAGGTTATCTGATTTGTTGGTGTACAGTTGTTCATAGTACTCTCTTATAATGCTTTTTATTTCTGTAGAATTGATGGTAATGTCTCCACTTTCATTTCTCATTTTTATAATTTGTGTCAATTTGTGTCTTCTCTCTTTTTCTTCTTAGTCCTTCTAGCTAAAGGACTTAATAAAACCTTTTTGAAGAACCAACTGTTGGATTCATTGATTTTCTCTATTATTTTTCTGTTCTCTAATTTGTTTCTGCCCTCATCATTATTATTTCCTTTCTTCTGCTAGGTTTGAGGTTAGTTTGTTCTTCTTTTCTGGTTCCTTAAATTGTAAAGTTATGTTGTTGATTTAAGATTTTTCTTTCTTTTTTTTTTTTTTTTTTTTAATGCAGGTGTTTGTACATTTTCCCCTTAGTAATGCTTTCACTGTGTGCTATAAGTTTTGGTATGTTGTGTTGTTTTTGCTCTCTTAAGTATTTTGTAATTTCCCTCATGATTTCTTCTTTGATCAGTTGGTTAATTCCCAAAATTTTTTAATTTTCCAGTTTTCCTTTTGTTATTGATTTTTAATTTCATCTTATTGTGGCCAAAGATACTTTGTATGATATCCATATTTTTTATTATATTGAGATTAATTTGTGGCCTAACATATGGTCTGTCCTGAAAAATATCCCATGTGCACTTCAGAAAAATGTGTGTTCTGTTGCTGAGTAGAGTGTTTTGTATATGTCTGTTTCGTCTAGTTGGTTTACTATGTTAAATTCTCTATATCTTTATATTCTGTCTGGTTCTTCTGTTGATTATGTGAGTGAGGTATTGACGTCTCCAACTATTACTGTAGAACTGTTTCTCCCTTCAGTTGTGTCAATTTTTGCTTTATATATTTTGATGGTCTGTTACTAGGTACCTAAATGTTTATTGTTGTATCTTTTTTCCCTATTGAACCGTTTATTAATATATAATATTTTTATTATAATGTCCTTTTTGATTTAAAGTCTATTTTGTCTGATATTAGTATAGCCACCCCTGCTCCCTTTTGGTTGCTCTTTGCATGGAATGTCTTTTTCTATCCTTTCACTTTCAACCTGTTTGTGTCTTTGGTTGTGCTTTTATTTGTTCTACCAATCTCTTGTCATTTGGTTGGACAGTTAAATCCATTTACATTTAAAGTAATTGCTGATAAAGAGGGACTTCTGTCATTTTGCTGTTTTTGTATGTCCCTAATAGCCTTTTCTCCCTCATTTCCTGCATTCCTATCTTCCTTTGTTTAGTTGATCGTAACAAAATGTTTAAATTCCTTTCTCATTTCCTTTTATTTATATTCTATAGCTATTTTCTTTGTGGTTACCATAGAGGTTGCATTTAACATCCTAAAGTTATAACACTCTAATTGGGATTTAAACTAGCTTAACTTTAATAACATACAAAAACTGTTTCTTTACAGCTTTGACCCCACCCCTTTCATTTTCACTTAATCTTTATACACTGTTTGTCCAGAAACATAAATTAATAATTCTTTTAAATGTATTAGTCTCTCAGATTTTGTAGAAAACAATATTTGGAGTTATACATCACAGTTACAGCAATACTTAGCTTTTACACTAATAATTCATTGTTTTCTTTAAATGTAATAGTCTCTTAAATTTTATAGAAAACATAAAATGGAGTTTCAAACCAATGTTAAAAATATTGTTTTTATAATTGCCCTTGTATTTACCTTTGTTTCTTTATATGGCTTAAATTTACTTTCTTATGTCATTTTATTTCACCTTGTAGGTCTCCCTTGTGCATTTTTTGCAGGGCAGATCTAGTGGAAACAAACTCCCTTAGCTTTTGTTTATCTGGAAATGGCTTAATTTCTTCGTTACTTTTGAAGGATATTTCTGCCAAATATAGAATTCTTGGTTGACAGTTTTTTCTTTCAGCACTTTGAACATGTCCACCCGCTATCTTCTAGCCTCCAAAGTCTCTGAAGAGAAATCTGCTGACGTTCTTAATGAGGATTCCTTGTATGTGATGATTCACTTCTCTCTTGCTACTTTGAAGAATGTCTGTGTCTCTGTGAGGCCTGTTGAGTTCATCTTATTCAAAGTTTGTTGAGCTTCTTGGATGTTTATGTTCATGACTTTCATAAAATTTGGGGAGTTTTCAACCATTCTTTCTTCACATACTCTCTCTGCCCCTTTCTTGTTCTTCTAGTTCCCACAATGTGTATGTTGGTCCTCTTGATGCTGCCCGTAGGTCTCTTAGACTCTGTTTGTGTTTCTTCAGTCTTTTTCCTTTCTGCTCCTCAGACTCTAATTTCTTTTGTCCTATCTTCCAGTTCACTGTTTATTTTTTGTGCCTACTCAAATCTGCTTTTGAATCCCTCTAGTTGGAGTTTTCATTTTAGTTATTTACTTGTCAGCTTCAGAATTTTTTAGTTTCTTTTTAGATTTTCTATCTCTTTATTTTTATTTACATTTTGTTCATACATTGTTTTATGTCATACTTTGCTATATGACCTACTGAGAGAAACAAAAAGAAATCAACAGAAAATGTCCCAGAAAAGACCCAACGGCAGATCATTAGACAAAGACTTATTAAAAAAACTGTTGTAAAGATGCTCAAAGAACTAAATAAGATATGGAGAATCTTTGAATGCTTTGGGATTTTTCTGTTGAACACTGGACATTTAAATCATAATATGGTAACTTGGAATATGGTAATATGGAAATCAGATTATTCCCTTCCTTGGAGTTTCCTAATTTTTGTTATTGTTTTTGGTTTTGGTTTTTTGATTGTTGTAGGTTGTCTCTGTGCCAAGGATCAGCCTGAGGTGTACATTTAAGGTTTTTTCATGTCTTTACTGAGCCTTTCCCTGGATATGCATAGTCACTTTCTAATTCTTGCTGTATATGTAGTTATTTTTGAATATCCTAGTCTTCAATGTCTGGCTCCCATCATGGGAAAAAGTGATAACAGACAGATAAAAAAGGGAGCTGGCTTTTTAAATACCTTGGAAGTCACTACATTCTGATGCAGAGGAACTTGCAACAATGAGGGAAGATACAACAGTGGCAAATGGCTACCCTCCTCTTGGTCTGCACCTCTGTGATCAGAAGCAGCAATTAGTGATGAGAGCACCGATCCCTGATACTTGGGAGGATAAGGTCCTTTTTACCTACCATGGCTTCTGTAATTTGCATGTGCACGGCTCCCTGGCCTATGGCTGGGAGTTGGGATGAAGGAGGTGCTGCTACTGTGCTAATACCTGAAATAGACAAAATTAACTGCAATTTACTGTCCATGTCTTCCCTGGAAGTTACAAGCTTTCAACAGACTCTATTATAGAGTTCTAACATAGTCACAGCAGACAGATTCTGCCAGTCAGTTTTGTCTAGGTAGGGAGATAGATTCCTGGTGCTTCTTGCCTCCTGCCATCTTCCCAGAATCTTCTTTAATCCCATCTTACTTTCTGTATTGAGTGACTTTGTGAGTAGATTAAGTAGCAAGACCTCTGTATTAATGGGTTGGGAGTGCTTTTATTAAAATATAACAGCTCTTTTCTCACCTACCTTTGTATTTAAGAGCTACATTAGATGCATTTGATATATGTATAGTAATTTTGGCATTTAACTTTTGGCAGGTGGTTTTGGAATGTATGCTTAAAAAAGACCTCATTTACAATAAGGTCACTCCAACATTTCACCACTGGAAGATTGATGACAAGAAATTTGGTCTTACCTTTCAAAGTCCTGCTGATGCTAGGGCTTTTGATAGAGGCATTCGAAGAGCTATAGAGGATATTTCTCAAGGTAGGTTATTTTGACTGTTTTCTTAATTTGTTTATCAGTTATATATAGTAGAAGTGACTTCAAACAAATCAGCTTTTATGATATGAGATTAGGCTTTGAAAGCTGACTGTAGGTGAAGATAAAATAATGGGCTCCTTAATCTGTTTTATGTTTGTCACATCACAGTATATACCAATTACATGTATTATCTTGAAGAGCCCATCAACAGCACACTTCAGATAATTTGAAAGTTTTAAAAATAAGAGCTCAAAGAAGAGGGCAGCAGTCAGGTAGAACTTTGAAAATCCTCCGTGAGTAAGTTACTCATATCCTTGTTTTGGTAATTATAAAGAGAAAATTTGTAATAATCAAATATACGTCAACTCCAGTTATTCTATGGCAAAACCTTCCTTACTGCTTTATCTGATTTCATTAATAAGGATTGGCAGAGACCTCAACCCAATCTATCCCTTTGTATACCTTACCAGTCTGTTAAGATCATTAACTCTAAAGCTTGCAGGTTTTAAAGGGAGGAAGAATATTTACATGTAAGACTGGCCTCTGCTTAATTAAACAAAAAGAAATCACATTAAAACCCATTTCTTTCCCCCAAAGAAGTCATAACTAAGATTTGATTTGCTTTTCTAATTAAGAAGAAACATTATCTCTATTAGGAGAAATAACCTTCTTATACAACATAACTGAATGAACATGTGTTGATAACATTGTGGCTCATATATTTTGAAGATGGCATTTTAGTAGGAAAATCAGAAGAAATAAACTAATTACGAGACAAACCATAGGCAAGAACATGGAAATGCTTAGTACAAATATGTATTGCTAAGTGTGTGAAACTGAAGTTAAATAATGTATTTAACTACTTTAAAAGACTAGAATTTGATAAACAAACAATCTTTGATTTCTGATTCAGAAAAAAATTCCATGAAATGATAGCACTCATTTTTAGTGCAAGAAGCCATAAATTCTTCCTATATCAGTGTTCTCATTGTTCCCTGCACATTTGAATCACCTGGGAGCCTTTTGAAAACTAGCATAATTGGTCCCCACTCCAGCCCACTTGAATCAGACTGCCTGGGGAGTGGTGCTGAGGCATTCCTTTTTTTTTAAGTTCCTGTGCATTTCAAGTGTGAGGAATTGTCAGATGATTATATATCATGAATTTAGGGAGGGGCAAGATGAATATGCATCTTCAGATTCTCCAGTAGTAGTTGTGGTTCTCAAACCACTGCAAGAAACTTAAAAATAAAAAATTTATGATGCCCAATGCCTTACCCCTCAGAGATTCTGACATTATTGGTTTGAGACTGTATTCTGGCATCAGTATAATTTTTTTAAAGTTTCCCAGTTAATTCTGATATTTTGTTAGTGTTGAAGAACCAGTGCTTTAAAAAGAAAATCATTATCCATGGTTGCTGGAATATTTAGTTTTGAATACTTTTATGCCCACATTCATACCCCCATAGGAATATACTTCTTTCACTAGGATCAGATAGATTGGGTTTAACCTTTTAAAAGAAAATTAATAAGGAGAAGCTTACAAACGCCTAGCCAGGTAGAATAGACTACAGTACTCAGCCTGTCTCATTGTTTTTGAACATTTTTGAAAACATACTGGTTAGCATTATTATCAACCACTATATAGATTTTCAACAATCCCATTTTCTTACTTAGCCTCCCATGACAGTAAGAATAAACTATGCACCCTTTCCATAGGGCAGCTTTCTCTTCATCTCCATGATAGCTATGTCTCAGGGGTAGCATAAACTCAGAATACTTTGCTAAGGTAAATCCTTCCTTATTAATTTATTGGAACTAAAGGCACTCTTGAACGCCATGAAAACTTATGTAGAGGCATTGGTGCACAAAAGTCAATAGCAACAATTGGCTATTGACTATCAACAGTGGATTAAGGCTCATTTTTTTTTCCTTACTAAAGCTACTAAAATCCTAGTTGGGGGTACTAAATACTGTTTCCTGGGTCAGAGTACTTAGAAAAATTGAATAAATCATGTGGGCATTACCTAAACACCAGAAGAGTGTGGTGTATATACTCTTCCTGGCAGTTTCAGTATTTGAGAGAAATCAGAGAGTCAGGGCTTGCCAGAGATAGTGTACTTTCACAGAAAACACCTCTTTAAGTAAGTAACTGGAAATTTACCTGTAGAAGAGGAAAACAATTGCTTTATTCTCTGTTTGTCTAACAGAGGGGCAAGTATGAGTGACCAACATCTGACTGGTTGCCAGGCAGTCCAGAATGATCTCTGATTAGTCTTCTACAGTATCATAGTGATATTATCAATGAGTCAGCAATACTAAAATCTAAAACAAAAATTCTATGCTTAATTAACTTTTACCCGTTTTCTTAGGATGCCCAGCATTTAAAAATGAAACTGAAGGAGCAGAAGACAACTTACAAGTAAGTAGTTTGGATTAAAAGGAATTTCTAGACATAAAGGATGTGGAGGAAATCACTAGCCTTAATAAATAAACAATTCATATAAATTCTTAAGAAATTTCTGGACATTGTATTTGTCAGGAAATACAGGGAAACAGAACCAATAGAATGTATGTATGTATATATATATATATATATATATATATATATATATATACACACACATATATATGTATGTATTAATATGTGTAAAGAAGACTTGGTTTTGTTCGGTTTGTTTGGTTAAGGAATTGGCTCATGTGACTGTGGGAACTGGCCAGTCCGAAATTTCACAGGGTAAGCAGGTAGGCAGGCATCCCAGAAGTTCTGGCAGCAGTTGATGTCTCTTGAGTCAGAAGGCAGTCTCAAGGCAGACTTTCTTCCTCCTTGGGGGACCTCAGTCTTTTCTTTAAGTCTTTCCAGAATGAGTCCACCACTTTATGGAGGATAATCTCCTTTACTCTGAGTCTACTGATTTAGATGTTAGTCACATATGAAAATTACCTTCACAGTAGTTAGACTGGTGTTTGACCAAACCACTTGCCACCATCACCTAGCCAAGGTGACAGATAAAATTAACCATCACAGATGCCCCACCGCATAGGCAAGGTACTTGTATTAAAAATTCGTAGAAAAGTAATTTCAAATTATTGATAGCATATGGACACCCTTCTGTTTTATATCACTAGTAATCAGCAGGTAGTATAAATTAACATTTATTAGTTATGAAATTATCAAAGATTTAAAAATTAATATTACCCCATACTGTGTCTTTCCATGAGGTTGACAGATTGACGCTCTGCTAGAGAAAATATAGATTGGTAGATTCTTTTTAGAAAGCAGTTTGGTAATAATGTATTTAAAAGCCTTAAAAATAGAAAAGGACTTCCCTGGTGGTCCAATGGTTAAGACTTCCCCTTCCAATGTTTCAGGTTCAATCCCTGGTCGGGGAGCTAAGATCCCACATACCTTGTGGCCAAAAAGCCAAAACATAAAGCAGAAGCAGTATGGTAACAAATTCAATAAAAGCTTTAAAATTGGTCCACATTTTTTTAAAAAATCCTAAAAAAAAAAAAGAAATATTCATACCTGTTGATCCAGTGAATCAATTTAAGGAAATAGAGATACACAAAAAATTTGTATACACAGATTTTTGGGTGTGTGTATATGAAATATTGATAATAAAAAATAAGCTATCTCAATGGAATGGAAATGGTTGAATTAAGGTATCTTTGTCATGCAACCACTAAAAATTTTATTATTAATTTACTTGCAGTGTTTTGAGTAGTAAAAACAGATAATTTTATGGTGTTGTCATCCATTGTTACTCAGCTAAAATGTTAAATAATTTTGTTACTTTTGGATTGTGGGATTCTGAGCTATATGGCTTTCTTTTTAGTACTTTTAATTTCCTAAAGTATTAATACTTTTAGGAGAATAGTGAAAGAACCCAAATTTATATGTATACCTTGTATTAATAATCAATTATTCATATTGTAAAAATAGTCATCACCTAAAGGACATGGCAAAATGTTTTAGGTACATTTATAATCAGAAAATAAAAATGTTTTTTATTTCTGAAAATTTGAGAAATATAGCAAAGTTCAAAAAATAAAACACAGATATGCTACCATCCATGATAACCATCATACATAGAAAATAAAAATGTTTTTTATTTCTGAAAATTTGAGAAATATAGCAAAGTTCAAAAAATAAAACACAGATATGCTACCATCCATGATAACCATCATTCATATTATTTTTTTTTTTTTTAAACATCTTTATTGGGGTATAATTGCTTTACAATGGTGTGTTAGTTTCTGCTTTATAACAGAGTGAGTCAGTTATACATATATATATGTTCCCATATCTCTTCCCTCTTTGTCTCCCTCCCTCCTCAGAGGTTGTTGGGAAGGTTGTTAAAACCCAAATTTGCAACTGGAATGCTTGCTGAAAGCACCTGGTTACCTCAGCAGTCAATATAAATTACAGAGGCTTTCGTCCTTATCCCCTCCTGGGGCACGTGGAGCACAGCCCTAAGGGAACTCCTATTACTCTTTTTTCCAGTGCTCCAGGAGACGTGCACATCTGTTGTTGACACATGTGGAACCTCAGCTCTCCCACCACCTCTCACACTGTTGATGTGATCATGATATTTTCAAACCTAAGGAAGGACCTCCAGGCAGAAGGAAGACACACCTGACACAATTAAAACCAAAACAGTTGGCACACTGGGATACAGATGAGGAATTTACTGCCTTTCTCTGTACACTCCGAGCTGCTGGATGTTAGTGAAGGGTTAAGCTAAGGACAAAATTAAAGAATTGTATCTGTTTTCTTATTACATGAAGAGGTTGCATCACTTGGTTTTTCCTTAAAATCTCTGACCATAAAATTGTGACCCTTTCCTAATTTACCTGGGCTACTTCAAGTTTACTTTGGGGAACTCCTTTCCACAGACAGATTGACATTGCCTTTTAGGATCTTGCAATGCATGCTGGTTAAGAATCTTAGCCTGGGAACCACCCGGACCTGGGTCTGATACTTGACTCACCGCCTACTTACTAGCTGGGTGACCTCAGGCAAGTAGCTTCCCCTCGGCAAGCCCATCTCCTTATCTGTAAAGCAGGTAGGACACCCCACTGCCAGCCTGGGAGTATTCTTGTGAGGATTCAGAGAGACCTTGGTATCAAGTCTTCCTCTCGGTGACCGACGCATAGTTAAGTACTCAATAGTTTCTTTGTTTTTACCATTGTAATTGTTTTACAAAAGAGAGTCGAACAGATAAAATGCACAAGCTGACCTGTAACATAATTGAAAAACTTAAGGCAATGCACATGTATTTTGGCAGTTTAGAATGTGATAACTGGACAAACGTTTCTTCCTTGTTGAGTGCTCAGCAAAGTCTGCATACTGTGCTATTAGAAATGCCTGTTATAAGGGGAACAGACCTCCACCAGGTTCATAGTATCATTTGAATTTGAAGGCATTCCTTTCTCACAAAAGGAATTGCCATTTGAAAGGACAAGTCCCTATGAGGAGTAGAACAGACAGCAGAAGGTCTTGGCTTTTAGCTGCCTGAGCCATCTCAAATAATTCATCCAGTCTTCTTGACCTCTGCTTCAACCTCTCTGTCCAGGAAAGCAACAGGTATATTGCATGCAAGGAGGTTACTGATTCCTTCAAGTTTGATTTTGGGGTCAGATAGAACTAGCTTCAAATTCTAGCTGCACAGCATGCAAGCTGTGTGGCTAATGATTTTGAGCCCTAGTTTATGCCTCTGGGAGGAGATTAATGGGGTACCTTCCTGATAGGTTTGCTGGGAGGATTAAAAGAGAGCAAATTGCCCAAGCTTTGCAAATGGCAGCTAATAAAATAATGAAAACTTTTTGCTTTCAGAACTCTATCTTAAATTGAGGACTCCAAAGAGCTTCTGTGACTATTATTAATTTTTAATTAAAAGTAAGTTAAAATTTATTTTATTACTATGAGAAACAAAATGAGAAACTTTAAAAATATTTGTGTATTAATTTAAAAATCACAGCAAACTCTTAATATGCTAACATAAAAATACATTTTTAATAAAAAGTAACTTTTTTTAAAAAAAGGAACAAAAGAGAAGACTTCATTAGTTTTTTTTTTTCAAGTCCCTTTAATGTCTTAGTAGGAAGGAGTGGAATTCTCATATCTGCTTCCACTAAAATCTGTTGCAGTATCACACATTACTTAGCTTCTGGAAAACTCCACTTTACACCCTAGATGGAATGAAAGCAGAGAAAAGCAAATAATACCTTGGCATTATAAAAATAGTTTTGACCTCATGGACTCCCTGAAAGGGACTCAGGGACCCCCCACTCTTTGAAAACAACCGACTTGGGACAACTGTCTTTCAAACTCTCAAACTGTAGATGATCCAAAGGCTTATGTAGAAAAAGAATGTTACAATGCATAAGAGAAAGAGAAACATCAAGGCCAAGAATATAGAATATCTGAGTCCCACTGAAGAATTTACTTTTAGAAATAAGCTTGTACTCAAGTACGGGGCAGGAGAACAGCAGGAGCCCGAACATATTTACAGAATCAGGCAAGTATCAGGCAAATATATTCTCCAAACAGACTGGACAAACTTGTGATGCCAGTAATCCAGACATCACAGATCACTGCTTCTATGTCTCTTTCTCCGTTCTCCACCACTCCACACCAGCACTGCAGGAAAATACCCATTTGCTCTCTGGATTATCGAATGTTGTAGTTATACCCCACCAGGGCATGGTGACTCAAACCCAGAAAAACTCATGGGTTTTTCAAACACACAGACCTGGGTTCAAAGGCTCGAATTGCCACTTAAGAGCTATGTAGTCTTGGAAAAGTTACTTAAATTTACTGAATCTCATGTATATGATGGGGATTGTGATGGACTAAAAATGACCATATTCTCTGCAACTCCTCCCATCAAAAGTGTGGAATGCAATGGAATACTACTCAGCCATAAAAAAGAAACCTTACCATTTGCAATAACATGGATGAATCTAGAGGGCATTATACTAAATAAGTCAGACAAAGACAAATACCACATGTGATCTCACTTATATGCAGAATCTAAAAAACTAAACAAAATGAAAACAGACTCATAGATACAGAGAATAAATGGATGGCTGCCAGAGGGGAGGGTGGGTGAAATAGCTGAAGAGGATTAAGAGGTATAAACCTCCAGTTATAAAATAAATAAGCCTGAGGATGGAATGTATAGCACAATAATGGTCAATAATACTGTCATAACTTTGTATGTGGACAGATGGTTACTAGATTTCTCGTGTGATCATTTCATAATGTATGCAAGTCAAATCTCTATGTAGTACACATGAAACTAACATAATATTGTATGTCCACTATCTTTCAATAAGATTTTTTTTAATTAATTAAATTTATTTAACACACATAGAGCTAATTCAAGTAATCTCCTTCTTGAGTGAGCTTTGGAG